TTGTCCTGGCTTCTCTTCACTCTCCACATGCCCTAGCCTCAATGCCCCGCACCCCACCAAAACAACAACAACAAAAACCCAGCACCATCATTTGAACAGTTATCTGTGGAAGATCTGCTGGGATTTTATAGTTAGCAGAAATGCGTTTAAGCAGGTTAGTACCAGGGAGAGAAATACCTTTAGTCATTGGTGTCTGTGAAGTTCCCCCAAAACCAACAAGGAGACCAAGTCCCATACATAAAAACAAAGAGCTTTTATTCTACACAAGTTTGCAAACTCAGACTCTCTGTGTGTCCAACCTATTAGAATGATCGGAGACCCCGAGCTCAGTTGGGGTTGGGTTTTTATAGTAGTAAAGGTGGGGGTGAGGGATTTCTAAGATTCAGGACCCCTGATTGGCTGACATTTGTCTAGAGGTGTCCTGGTGGATGTGTGCTGGCAGGTGATCCAATCTACAATGGTTGGAACGTTAGGCATTTCCTTTGGATGGTCTGTTCCTGGGTGGTGCCTGGGTAATCTCCTTTTGTGTCCCTTCCTGCAACCAGGTATTGCCTCAGGGAAAACAGAGACCCATCATTGCTGGGGTCCAACTGTGTCTGGCTTCCTAGACTCTACACCCAGTTGTTTTTGTTGCTGTATTGTCTAAACTGGCAAACAAGCTAACTATACGCTGTAAACTGTGGTGGTCTGTGTAGGGCACAATCCCTACCCTGCATGACTAATGCCTTCCTAACTCTGCCGCGGAAGAAAACAGTTTCTTCATTGGGTTTTCACACCCATCACCACAAAGTCCAGGATCAGACAATGTCAGCCAAGGGATTCTTCCTTCTTAACTGAATGCAGTATAAAGGAAAAGGAAGGCCTGATTTATTCCAAACCTTTAATTAACAGGCACTTCGGGGAAACATTTTTTTGTTGTTGTTTTTTGTTTTTTTGACACAGGGTTTCTTTGTTTAGCCCTGGCTATCCAGGAACTCTCTTTGTAGACCAGGTTGGCCCTGAACTCACAGAGATCCACCTGCCTCTGCCTCTCAAGTGTTGGGATTAAAGGCCTGCGCCACCACTGTCTGGCTTCATGGAATCATTTTAAGCCCTGAGTGAATGCACGAGTCTTTAAGGATTAAAAATGTGTTGTAATAAAACTTACCTAAATCACTTAGAAAAAGATTGATAAGGAAGTTCTTAATTAGCTTAGCTCTCAAATTTAAAATTCAAAGTGACCATAAAGCCAGACCATTGCCTGTAACCAGGCAGATAAATTCAGCCAGTTCTGAATTAATATCACATTTTAAAAAACTTTTAAGGATAATTTTTAGGGAAAAAAAGCATGAGAGAGATGATAGCAAACACGGAATGAGTAGAGAAATGAGGCTTTTTGTTTTCTGCGACACAGTCTCACACAGCCACGGCTGATCTCAGACTTACTCTACGGCTAAAAACGACCTTGAATTTCTGACCCTCCTTGCACCAGCTCCTGAGTGCGGGATTATTGGCAGGTGCCATTAATGCTGGAGATGAAGCCCTTGTTGGGCAAACACTCTACTTAAAGTGAACTACATCCCGCTGAATAAATAAACGTGCATCCCAGTGCCAGGAACCTCTCAACAAATAAGCCAGGAAAGTGGGCCAGGTGTGTTAGCACATGCTTGCAGTTCCAACAGTTTGAGGCTAGCCTGGGTGATACAGCAAGATCCTGTTTCAAAACCACAAAGTCTTCTGTGCTTCCAAGTTATGACTTCACAGCTCAAGTTTTAACAACTGGCATACAGCCTTCCACACATTGAATCTGACCCTTGGCCATTCAGAAATGAGCACAGCCAGTAAAACCCTGGAGTTACTTTCTTAGGTGATTTATAGCAACCAAGATTTCTTCCCTGTATTTTTATGTGGCTTTTATTAAAACATAATGGATGTACAAGGCTCCAGAGTTTATGTATCTTCATAAACAGAAGCATCCCTCTTCAAAGCTAACCACTGTTAACAAACTCAAGTACACATTCCTCTCCCCAAAACTGTCCATACATATCTATGAGCATATGTGTGTTGGGCATAACTTTCGGCAACTTCAGACACACGCTTCTGTGTGCAGGCACATATTTTTGTGGGCCTGCATACATATACATGGAATGAATATTCTGCATTATTTTCTGGCTTTCAAAGTTTAATGTTTTAGAATTTTCTATATAGCCACTTATACATCAACCTCATTCATAAGACTATATAACAGTCCCATGCATGATTGTTACTGATACAGATATGGCTTGGTTCTCAGCTGGTAGCTGGTTTAGGTCATGCAAGCTTTTGGCTGTAGGGGCAGATGGGGGACTAAGGCTACAGGATGAGAGCCGGCTCTGAGCCCTGCCTGAGCTTCCTGGTTGGTCAGTGAGATAAGAACAAGCAGCTGGCTTTGTGGGAGCCTAGCCAGTTTGGATGTTCACCTTCCTAGAAATGCACGGAGGGGGGAGGACCTAGGACTTACCACAGGGCAGGGAAATCTGACTGCTCTTTGGGCTGGAGAGGGAGGGGGAGAGGAGTGGGGGGAGGGGGAGAAGGGTGGGAGGAGGGGGAGGGAAATGGGAGGCTGGGAGGAGGAGGAAATTTTTTTTTTCTTTTCTCAATAAAAAAAAAGTTAAAAAAAAAAAAAGAACAAGCAGCCTGCCGCCCCCACAACCCTGAATTCTGACACGCCTTGCCCTCTACAAAGCTGAGATGAAATAATTTCTTCTTCTCCCAACCACTTCCGTCCCATATTTTGTCTCAGCAATGGGGAAATTAATACAATAGTCATGTATGGCTGAACTGACCGCGTTTGGTCCCAGGCTTTTAATTTTACAGTGCTCAGAAGCTATTACTCTTCTAATTGGGTCATCGGTCCATTGCGACCTTATCCCTGTGCACAAGAAGAATGGATTCTGTTGTAATTTTCACGTGACTGTCCACACTTGTGCCATTCTAGGTATGATCACAGCAGTGAGATGCGGGCCCACTGTTTGCAGCTGTCACCTTCTCCACTGCTCCCTCTGGGGCTCTTATTTCCTGTACTTGCTACAATACACGGTTGGGACCTGGCATGTCTGTTTAATCAAAGAGCTCTATGCTGCACAGTGACCTCTACAATGAAGGGAGTGGGGACGTATTTCGAGGACCTGCATGAACATGAGTGAGCTGTGTATGGCGGTCACAGAACCGGCAGGGCACAGGGCAACCAGCCCTGGGAACCACAGCGCTGATGGGACACTCGCTGGATCATGGTCCTATGGTAACCACTCTTAACAGATGGGCCCATGCCAAAGAGTCAAGGAAACACACAGCTCTCCCAAGGTGCTCAAACTGTCAGGTTTATTCTGTAAAATAAGGCAAAGGTACAAATAACTCAGCAAAGATCAAACAGAGTTAAGAGGCCTTTTATAAGAAAAACATTTAGCAACCACTGTATTCTCAAGAACTCTCAACTATTTATAAATGTCTCTGCTTTTAATCTTTACAAAATTACATTTACCAAGAGAAGTTTAGCTTTTAAGAAGTATCATGACATGTTTCCAATAAAGCAAAGCAGTCAGTAGGAAGGTCAGCTTCCCTTGACGTTTGGGTGGACCTGTTTCTCGTGTAGAAACTTTCTCCGTCAGCTGGCAGAGACTGAGACTGGGGGGCATCAGACAAAAGTACTGCCCTGATTTTGTACCACCCTCGAGGTTGAACTTGGCCATCCAAATCACGAACTACAAAGGAAAGGCTATGTTTACTCTCATGATGGAGAGACTTCTGGTCTCATGTTGGCTTCTTGTACTAACTAGTTCCTTTAACCAGTCAGAAAAAGAGGGAGCTGCTTCTCCTGCTCTAGTATGATTGACGTGTTCTCCTCCAGGTATGGGAGTTGACAAAGGACAGTTTATCTTTTGGGCAGTTAATTAACTGTGATATGATCTTATATTTTCCAAAAAATCTCCTAATTAGCTACTAAAAATGCAGTAGCCCAAACCACCAAGCCATAATTTGTGCTTGTCCGGTCCTCAGTTTGGGACCTGCGTTTCTCTGGACAAAGTAGGCTGGTGACAATCCTCCGTGTCCTCTGCACACGGGGCTTTCCTAGCGTCCAGCAACCACGCGGAGCTTTTCACGGTTTCTGTTGCTTTAAAACTGTGAGGAAGTTATAAATTCAACGGTGATTTCTGCCAAACAGTTCAAACAACATTATAGATTTTTATAATCCTGATTCAAGTATATAAATTAGATTAACATGATATTCAATAAAAAATAAACACAAGTTCTAGCTCATTTCTGGTGCCATGAGACATAACAGCACCACCTATTTTCAGATGTCAGTGGTAAAATTGTAATTCAGTTTAAGCACCGTCTAAGTTAGCTGTTCGTGTTTACAGGGAGGTCACAGCCCTAACATCCCTGTAACTCAGGAAACCTGTTCATTCGCTATATCCTGGGTCCTGGGAAAGAACAGCATGCCCGGGAAGAAAGGGGGGAAGGCTTTGGGTTCAGGCTTCTCAGTACTTGAATTACTGAGTGTGTATGTAATATTTTCATAGACCCGTAGGCCTAGATCACACACAGAAGGCCCTAAGGAACGGTGCTGCTGCAGCCTGTGTCGCCATGGATCACACAGAAAACGCCGACCACAGCTTTGCAGCCTTAAGCATCCAACAGAAAAACAGAAGAGTTAACGCTAGCAATCCACTTCCATCTTTTTAGTCAAAACTTATCTTTTTATTCCATTTCAAAATGAAATATTCTAAACTCCATTTCAAAAATGAAGTATTCTAAATTGAAAAGTTTTTACTTAAAAACACTTGGATTAACGATGCTAGTTCTTAGAGACGGTAAATACATGCAAACGAAATAAAGTGCACGTCACAGTATTTAACGTAACAGACGCAGAAGTGACCTACATTGGCATATAGACTGCAATATGACAAGCACCTAATTAGCAAAGTTAGGTAAAAATGAGAAAAGTCTCAGCTGAAAAACCACAATTTTTCAGTACATCAGAAGGACAAATAACCTTTATTTAAGGCTACGATTAAAGTGGAAGACTTTTGTGTACTTCCATTTTGTGTAGGGGAAAGGAAAGCCGTCCTTCTAGAAGGCACTAATTGGCTTAAATGTGGAAGTGACTTCATAAGACAACAGTGCAGAGTCCAGCCGAGGGGCGGCCTGGTTCTTGAGTTCTGCTCTTCCGTGGGTGTAGGGTATTGCTCAAGAGGGGCGTCAGTCGCAGGGACTCCCACAGCTCCGTGGGCTCAGTCTACCAAGTGGCAGATCTCCTTGACTTTCTGGTTGAACTCTTCTGGTTGATCTGCATACACGTAATGGCCCGCCCCCAGGATAGCCTGGGAAAGGAAGAGAGGTGTGACCAGGGAAGTGAGACACAGCAGGGGGTAAGCAACATTGCTCAGAAACAAGAGCCTTGAGTCTTAAAAAGACAAGAGAGACTCCCCCATGAAGTATTGAGGATTTCCATCTGGAGGCTTTGGGATAAACAGGAAAATCTCCTGAATCTTAGTAACTCCATCACACAAGTGCTAACACAAAGACACTCTCAGCTGCCGGGCTAAACAATTCAGCTGTGTGTACTGCGTTGGGAGAGGGGTGGGAGCCTATGAACCAGTCGTTCAGTGTCTCCACAGAGCCTGGGAAGGTCCTCAGAAAGGTGATTCTCTATGGGACATAAAAGTGTGCATGACTCAAAGCCGCCCGCATCCCTGCGACATCAGGTCTCTGAACGGGGCTGTGAGTGGAGCCCAGACCCATGGAGTTAATGAGTCACACTTCATTGTGAAAGGAAACAATGGCTCCATACTCACTATTGTCTTCACATAGGACTTCGGTCGCAGGGACTGGATGCTGGTACCAGAGTTGCCATCTATGCAGGATCGGGCGCCAAAGATCACAGAAACTGGAATGTCAGGATGCAAGTCTCCTATCCGCTGAAGCATTGGCCGTTTCGCCCACCCATAGGGAATTGTCATGTTTTTGAAAGCGGTCTCACCGCTGTGGAGAGAGAAGCGTGACCTTGGGAGTGAGTCTGCATTACAGTCCCACCAGTTAAAGCACACTTACACTCGGCCTCCCAGCATTTAAGAGAAATGTTTGCTTAAACTTTTGAACAATTTACTAGATAATGTAAGGGGACATTCTTCATTACTGCTATTAGATAAACGAAGCTGCAGTATGACGTAGCTAATTCAAAATAAGAAGCTGAAGCTGGAGTAACGGATGCTCTGGAGAAGTCCCTGGACTGCTGAGCAAGTCGGAGACAACAGAGACCTAGGGACCGACCGGCCAGCCAGTCACAAAACCGCCCATGTCTTAGGCTCAGCAGCCTCCAGCTCCTCTACTGACTGAGAATCTAACTGCTTTAACCCACACTGCTGCAGCCCCGCCCACCAAAGGTTTCCATGGGGGGTGGTGCTGTGTGGGCATCTTGGCCTGGCCTCAGTTCTGCCAGCCCTGCCTTACAGCGTCCAGCCCTGGCCTACGCAGCAGACTAGGATTGTCTCCAGCCTTTGTCACTGATGCAGCCCAGAACTGCAGAGTCAGGTCAGAGCCTTCACCTGAGCTCTGGAGCCATTGTGTTTGCTTGTACCCCAGTCTGTGAAGCCAAAATGTCCTGAACTCCACGCCCTGCCCTATGCCCAGCAGGGACCACACTGCTGATGTACCATGACCCTCAGAACTGGAAGCCCCTTCTGGAGGCTCCTCCCAGTACTCCACATCTTCAGAGTTTGCTTTCTACAGATACCTTGCACCTGGTGCTCAAAAGCCCTGTTTTAGAAAATCACGTGTTTGTTCCCCTTGCTTTTTCTGGCTGCCCTGCGCTTGTTTGAGTATTATCTCCCCCTCTAGTCCTAAGTTAGCAAGCAGAAGGCTGCCCCACTCACCCTTTCTGTCCTCACCCAGTGGAGCTGGGCTGCTCACACTGATGTGCAGACATTAGGAGATGCCCAATAAGGGCGTGGGAACTGCCAAGTGAACCGAAAAGTGCTGCCCAGTCTGTCACCTGTACAAGCCTGCCAGACTCTAGAAGTACCTCTGCAGGCCATGGCCTCTGACCTCTGCAGGCCACGGCCTCTGACCTCTGCAGACCATGCCTCTGACCTCTGCAGACCACGGCCTCTGACCTCTGCAGGCCACGGCCTCTGACCTCTGCAGGCCACGACCTCTGACCTCTGCAGGCCACTGCCTCTGTTAAACTGGGCACCTCCTGTGTATGGAGCCTTCACATTCAGTTTGGGAAATAAGCTTGAAGTGAAATTCTTTTGTCTGTCAACCTAGATCTCTTCTTTGAGATTCCTAAACCTAAGCCATCCTAGAATTGGCCATACTCTTTGAGGGGAAGGAAGTGTATTTTATTTACAATGCCCATTTATTTACAATACACAATGCTTACACTATAGCCACTTCATGAATAGATGGAGAATTATGTGGCAGAAATATGTCTTTTAAAATATATTTAACTTAACTACCAATAAACACATATTTATAAAAACAAAACTTTGAAGCACAAACAATAAGTTTAGAATAACAGTTTTCTAGACACAGCAGAAGAGCTGCACACAGGAGCTGACGGCAGCGGTGACAGCACACACACACACACAGGAGCTGATGGCAGCTGTGACAGCACACACACACACACACACACACACACACAGGAGCTGACGGCAGCTGTGACAGCACACACACACACACACACACACACACACAGGAACTGACGGCAGCTGTGACAGAATTTACAAGACCTGCACAAGCTCAAACAACACAAAAATTCCAGCTTGGAGTGGGAGGAGGGAGATCTACCTCTGGGGTAGGAGCTATTGGCAACTGAGGGCTGCTGGGAGGGTAAGACCTGTTTTCTTTAAGGTGTGTTCCCCGTAGGCCAGCCACCCTCTAGCAAAGGGTCACTCACCCAAGAATATACGAGCACCACCAACTTTATTTGGTTGGTTTAAGAAAAAAAGAGGACACAAAGCTGGTTAAGCAGGGAACGGGGATAATTCTGAGACGGGTGTGGGAGAGGAAACTATGACAGGATAGAATTTTCAAGGAAGGAATGAAGATGTGGGAACAGTCAGAGTCTGAGCCTTACCTCGGGGTCTGCACGTTACAGTGATAGATGTACTCGGTCACGGTGTCGTCCTCAAACATGGACGCGTACTTCCGCTTGAAATCGGGCCTTAAGCGCTGCACTAGACTTAACCCTATTCGACAGAAAATAGAAACACACATCTACTACGTTATTAACTTACTCACAGCACAAAAGTGTGTTTGTTTATACTGTAAGTGCTATGTACACACACAAAAGTGTGTTTGTTTATACTGTAAGTGCTATGTACACACACAAAAGTGTGTTTGTTTATACTGTAAGTGCTATGTACATACATAAAAGTGTGTTTTTTTATACTGTAAGTGCTAATGTATACACATCTACTCATGTTCTTAAATATACACCTTAGGTTGGAACAAAGCATACATCCTGGAAGACGCTAAGTCCCCGAGGACAGGAGACTGACCGCAGCTGCGCTGTAGGAGCTCCAAATACACTGGGCTCCTAGGACTTCTTTCTGCAGAATGTATTTCCAAGTGAGGCCACTGAGCAGAGTAGCCAACATGTAAAATCACATTATTGGCTTGTATTCTTTCCCTCCACAATAACATACTAAGACTATGTTAGAGTCTAAACAAGCAAACTATTGTATATAATTTTGGGACACCAGGGTCCCGGTCGTGCTGACAACACAAGGCCTCCAGGAGAACAGAAGGCAGAGCAGAGGCCTCCCATCGGCATAGCTGTGGTTGTTCTCTGCTGAATTCCTCGCTGCTCATTATACTAGCAACTGGCTCCTCACTCCCCGCCTCCACCTTGAACATTCACCTTGAACATTCCTCACAGGCCCGGGTTGGCCTTGTTTTGGGAGGCGACGGTGTACTGAGGAGGTGGGGCTGAGCTGGTGGAAACCAGCCACTGGGATGGATGCTTCCTGGTATGAAGGCTGTGAACAGCCTCCACCACGATGCGTATTCCTTCCCAGTTATGAGGATCCGAACGCCCCTGAAACTGAATTAATGTAAATTTTCCGCCCTCTGTTTTGCTCAAGTATTTGGTTGGTGATGTGGAAATTCACTAAGAAGTCTTTTAATTACTTTTCCCACGTTTCTTTCCCCATAATTGTTATTTTATGCCTGTGATGCCCTGCAATCTGCTAACATTTCATGAGAACCCAAGGAGCTTATCAAAGGATGGCCAGATAGCCAGAAAGGCGTTTTTCAAGAGAGACTGAGGACTGGAGGGAGAACAAATCACACCCGAGCAAGCCCTGGACAAGGGTGACCCTGAGTGAGCGCTGGACAAGGGTGACCCTGAATGAGCCCCAGAGAAGTGTGACAAGTGTGCCGTGCTCACCAGCTCAACCCTGTGGCCTCTTACGACTCCTTTACTCAACCATTCTCACCCAAAGGGCAAGGAGGTTTCCAGGACTGGAAAGAAGGGGGCAGAATCTAGCAGCCAGACAGTGGTCACTCCATATTTGTATCTACCTTCCCATGTCTCCCTCCCTTTCCTGCTAATAGAATGCGGCTTCCTTTCCTAGTACTGATTTAGGTAGTGATGGCTAAGGAAGGCTGCCTTCCCTGTTCTGTGGGCAGAGAGCGAAGGGGCGGCCTGGGAGCCCCCTTCACTGTTCCAGGAGCTGCTCTATGAGTGAGGCTTTGTGTCATGGGGTCACTGGATAACAATGGGGGAGGGGAGAGAACCCCAGACACAGATATGAGACTATGATATGGCTCAGCAGTAGGCAGCACAGAGTTCAGCTCCCAGCACCCACGCGGTGGCTCACAACCATCTGCAACTCCAGTTCCGGGGGATCTGATGCAGTCTCCAGGCCTCCTTGGACACCAGGTATACACATGGTGTACATAAGTACACCATGCACACAGAAACATAGAAGATTGTTAAAAGGATCACAGACACAGGCCAGGATGGTAGGGCACACCTTTAATCCCCCCACTTGGGAGACAGAGACAGGTGATCTCTGTGAATTTGAGGCTGGCTTGATCTGTATTTTCGGTTCCAGGCCAGGTGGGCTACACAGTGGAACCCTGTCTCGGGTTGATGTCATCATCGGAGGCAAGGGAACAAGCACAGCATCACAGAAGCTAGAAAGTGCTAGAGCCACTCAACCCAGACTGCGTGTTGGGAAATTCATAAAAGGGCTCATGGTTTAAGCCATTTATCAGATATTCAGTTATTTATTGCTAAAAGCACTCCCAACTTACACAAATTGTAAGGGGGCAGAGTAGGGGCTCAGATCGCCATCATCTGAGTCAATAAGGGAAGGACTTTTTGTGGCTATCGCCTAAGATGTTGGAGTGAGACTCTAAATACCAATACTCAAAGTAAATAATCAGGAGTCCCCAGGACGTTCACGCAAAGGATCATGTCACCTTTCATCACATGGACAGGAGGGGGGTAAGGAGAGACCTGAGTTGTGGTGACCGATCAGCTCCACGGCCTCTACTGCTGGCTCCTCACCCATCAGCTCCACGGCCTCTACTGCTGGCTCCTCACCCATCAGCTCCACGGCCTCTACTGCTGGCTCCTCACCCATCAGCTCCACGGCCTCTACTGCTGGCTCCTCACTGGCAGCCACGGCCTCTACTGCTGGCTCCTCACTGGCAGCCACGGCCTCTAACTGCTGGCTCCTCACTGGCAGCCACGGCCTCTACTGCTGGCTCCTCACTGGCAGCCACGGCCTCTAACTGCTGGCTCCTCACTGGCAGCCACGGCCTCTACTGCTGGCTCCTCACTGGCAGCCACGGCCTCTAACTGCTGGCTCCTCACTGGCAGCCACGGCCTCTACTGCTGGCTCCTCACCCATCAGCTCCACAGCCTCTACTGCTGGCTCCTCACCATCAGCTCCACGGCCTCTACTGCTGGCTCCTCACCATCAGCCCCACGGCCTCTACTGCTGGCTCCTCACCCATCAGCTCCACGGCCTCTACTGCTGGCTCCTCACCATCAGCTCCACGGCCTCTACTGCTGGCTCCTCACCATCAGCTCCACGGCCTCTCAAATGAGCACAGAGGTGATCACGCTTCACTCCTGCCCCGTACCCCACACAGCATCTGCTCGGGTTTTAGGGTGCTGAGACCGACCTACCTTATCTCCAGTGTTTCCCTGTCTCTGCTTTGCTACCTACTTGTAATGTGTTACAATATAAAAGGAAAGTGATGGGCTTCATCTCATCATTATCCAGCCTGACCCTTACCACAGAAGAATCAGGAAAAGCGAGAGCCCTGATTTATCCGTGACTGTGACTAGCAAAGGTAACCAGGGAACACAGACAGTCCCCCGTTTGTGAGAGATGCAACGGGTCTTCACAAAAATCATAATGTGAATTTTGATGGTTTCTTGAGCTGATGAGTGGAACCAGACCATATGATGACAGGAAGGGACAGTGACTCATGTGACCAGCCACACACAAGGGCTCTGTAGCGTTAGGGGCACTCTGAGCTGACAACGGCTTTAATGGGAGGAGGCCCGTCCAATCCTAAGTGGGGAGCAGGCGCTCTTGACTGTCCATCTGTAAACACGGCTGTTTCCCAGGACAGGAACACTCACCAAAAGGTCCTGCAATCCTGAGGCCGGCCAAGGGGTTAAAGGGAGTCAAGGCTGCCCCCAGGGCTCTGATCCAGACTGGAATTGGTCTCTCTTGATCAGCAAGGTCTGGTCGCTCAGGAAAACCCCACGGCTCTACTAAAATGAGGTGACTAACCCTGATGAGGAAAGAAAAACAAGTTAAAGTTCATTTTGTGATCCCCTAAAGGAGGACTGACTGCTAACCCACTGTGTCAGCTCTTAAAATGGGAAGGATTTGAGGAGCTCATGGTAAAAGGAAGGCTTTGCTTATATTGAACAAAATATACACCAAAGTAGAACATATAACTGCACTCCTAAAAAGAAAGGAGAAGGGGGGGTGAGAAAAAGGAGAGGACACGGCAGAACTGATGGGAGATCAGCTTTACACCCATGAAGTGGTTAATCTCTTATGGGACAATAATTCTAAAATTTTAAGGCAAGTTAGGATTTCCCCACAAACATGGCAATAGTACATCCTGGGCTCACAAAAGACATTCCCGTCTGGGAGTCTGAGTGTGGCAAAAGAAGCACGTCTGTCCACTCCACCCACGGCAACACAATAAACTAGCTATAATTCTCCCCCAAACAACTTCTTTACTAGATAACTTTTTCATTTAATTTCATACAAATAGACTCATTACAACATTAATAGGTATAATTCTGTCTTATGAAACTTATTCTGATAAAGAAAGAGAACTGTGAACTGCCACCATGTGAGAGGTGTGATTTCTTCCCTTTATCATAAAGACTTCCTGAAGCACAGCCCCCAACACAGGAACGTTTCCAACTGTACCCACAGCAGTCCCCCATGGCCAGACCACCCCCAGCAGATGACAGTGTCTGACGGCCTCCCCAGCCACACCTCAAACAGCGGCAGAGCCACTGAAAACTGTCCATGTGGTTTTATCTCTTACATAGAAATCTGCTTTAGTGTTTTGTCAGCACGTGTGAGGACAATCGCAGAGAACAGAGAAAACTCAGTCTAACCTCTCATCACGGATAGAAGGAAGCGGAGACGCAGAGTGGGCACGCACCAGCACGCAATGATTGTTAGCGCAGAGTAAGGCTGAACCTCATTTCCCACTCCAGTGTGCTCAGGACAGCCCCTCCCCTTCAGGCTTTCATTCCAGAAGCTTCCACAGCAGCGGTTCGAACAGTGCATTGTCATTTACCAACCTTCAGTCAGTGCAAACACTGTCTCCCGACTGTAGAGCCCTGCGTCTATTTGTGAGTGGAACTATGTGGAGGGAGCTATGTGCCGCAGACAGCTGTGCACACCTAGTGTGTTTTCAAGTCTAAGTTTTTAATAGTGTATGAGAAAAAGATCGAAAATAGATTTTTTTTCTGAAAACAAAATGGCAGAGTCCTTTAAATTCAGAGAGTGGGAGAGACATGCCAGCATTGAGAGCAGAATTAAAGGAATGGCCACCTTAATGAAAACAGCAAGCATTCATGGCAGGAAGCAGCTGGCAGTATTCACTACTGGCAAACTTCCTAAACAAAGAAATGAGCTCTTCATCCAAACACCCCGCTGCGCTCCAGGGAGGAAAGTCTCACCTTGCTCTAGGTAAGAATTTGTCTCTGCTTGCCTTGTTTAATATATTTTTCAAAATATCCTCTGGAAAATGTCAGCTTAATACATTGTGTGAAGTATATAAACCAGGGTGAAGAATCTTTATTTGCTTGTTTCTGAAAGGCAGTAAAATTGACCTAGAATTGTTCAAGCCTGTCTTCAGGACCAGTGTGGCAAAGGTGGCAGTTCTCAGTAAGGCCTGCGGGTTTTGTTTTGTTCCATGGTGTGGACTGTTGTGGTCCCCAGATGGCCCTGGATTATACCGCTGCTGGTTATGATATTACAGAGGGCCAGAAGTGTTGTTTTATTTTTGATAAGATGTATTATTTGGAATTAAAAATTACAACCAGCATGAGCATTATCCCTCCCCCCCCCACACACACATAAATTCTTTACAACACTTATAGCAAAAAAAAAAAAAAAAGTTTAAAAATAAAGTTTTAAAGCCTCCAACATCAGAAATGTAGTTTGATGCATCCACTTTAGTTATATGTAAAAGATCTCATAAAATAATTTCCTTGCTTTTCATTTGAATACAACAGACCACACAAAGCATCGCCCTTGGTGGCTGCTGTGGTAAGTATCCAGTAGAGAAGCTGTCTTAGCAAAGTGTATCCCACAGAGGATAAACTGGAGGATTTTTACATTTCTGTTTTATGTATTACCTTTTGGAAACGCTATGTAGCCTGGACCAGCCTCGGATTTGTAAAGCTCCTCCTTCCTCTCTGCCTCCTGAGAGCCAAAATTACAGACATGAGCCACAGTATGGGCCCCACCCTGACAGGGCTGTCAGCTGACAGGTAGGGTAAGGAATGAGTCTGAAAAGATGGCACACCTGAGCCATCCTAGCAGATACCTCCCTCAACAACTACAGGAAAACACGGAATGGGAAGAGTGGGAAGAAAGGGACAGCTCATCTGTTTTGAAACAAAAGGACACGCTTCTTGATGGTGGTCAGCAGAGTTTCGGTCTGCAGCCCATAAACAGCTTACACCTCTAAGGGCAAAGCAATGGGTCACACCTGAACTAGCTCACTGGGCGGAGTGGTATCTGTTTAATGAGCACATGACTCTATACACCTGAGTCTTACAGATGCCGTCAGCGCCCAGCTAGAACGACACAACCAGAACAAGCAGTCCAGAACTAAGATGCACCAGGAAATCTGCAGGGCTTCCTTGAAACAAGGGAAGGAGCAAGCGAGATAACCAGAAAGAACTCCAGTCTACACAAAGGAGCATTCTCAGACCAGAGGTGAGCCCAGGGTATTTCCTGTTGACACCACACCACTGGGAGAAAGGGAGGACCTGAAAACATTTCAGCACATTCAACTCCAGGTCAAGTGCAAGAAATTTTCTTCTTAGGAGGAACCAGAAAGTTGCTCAGCCCAGGTCTGCATTGTCAGGTAGCAGTCAGGCAAGAGCAGCAGGAGCTCAAGATAATATTGTCCACAATCTGTCACTGGTGGAGACAGTTCTAGCGTGCTGTTGTGACCTGGGACGGCTCTCTACCAGTTTGTGCCTATCCGCTTCTTTTCTCAGACGAGATCTCATTATGTGCTCCAGAGTGGCCTCCAAGTTCTGCGCTCCCAGCCTCTGTCCCCGGGTGCTGGGACTGCAGTTTGCACTACAGTACATCCTTCTAAGCGTCCATCACAGCCTTTCTTAGTGTGCAGCAAATACCTGTAACACAGATACTTCTTTGCAAAGGGAAATCTGAACAGTTGAGAGGAAGTGGCAAATATCTTGGTTACCAGCACTGGCGAGCTTCACTCTTCCTAAGGGAAGACAGCCCAAGACTCTTCAAGCAGCAAGTAGCTCTATTTGTGACCTATCACATTAATCTACTAGTGAAATTCCCGGCGGCATCTCCACTCATCGCGCTATAGTTGAAAGATTGAGATGAACCGAGATGGCTGTGCCCCTCATTTGGAGCTGTCTCCCGCCACCCAGCATGCCTCTTTCAGACCTCAGCTCAAAAAATATTTCTTTAGACCATCACTGGACAGGAGACCAGACCGGGTTCTCAGAGCACGGTCTGCCTCTTGCCTGCAGCACTCACCCCTGGGGTTGAGCCACTGTACGGGTGTTTAAAATGCCGTTCCAAAAAAACTCATGTACACGTAGCTGGGCATATAGCCGACATTCCAACAAGGTATGATGAATTTTGAAGCCTTTCTTTGGGTAGGGATGATAATAGCATCGGGGAAAATGCAGCTGTGACTCAAAACCACCACCAAAGTCGACAGTGTACACAGAGTCCCTGTTGAAACACTCGCGATGACACGGGAGGCAGCCCCACATCTTAGAAACATCAAATGCGAACCCCACTTGTTATGAGACTTCCTCATGATGCTGGGATGTCTAGAAATCCACTGTTATTTTGAAATTCACCCACGTTTAACAAATGTTATGAAGTCAAAAGTATTAGTTAAAAAAAAAAAGACAATTAAGCCAGGCATGGTGGCACACAACTTTGATTCCAATATGCGGGAAGCAGAGGCAGGCAGATTTCTGAGTTCAAGGCCGTCTTGGTTTATGCAGCTAATTTCAGGATAGCCAGGGCTATATATCTCAAAACAAAACCAAACTCAAATAATATAAAATAAATCTGGAAGGAAGGAAGGAAGGAAGGAAGGAAGGAAGAAAGGAAGGAAGGAATCCACTCTTGGCTGTCCAATCCTAGAGCCATCTTCTGACACTAAGAGGAGGAATTCAGACAGGCTACACTTAGGACCACTACTCAGTGGTTTTGGTTCCACAGTGCTCAGCACAAACATTCATAACACACTCTCTGAAACGCAGTCAGCTCTAGGGGGGGATCAGTTGCTGTGATTCTCTCCATGGATTTTTTTTCAGCATTCACCAAGTTCTGCTTCTTCAGAGCAGCTCACAACTGTAAATGGAAATGTCACCAGCTCTGCTACTCAGCAGTCAGTTAGGGAGGGTTGAGGGTTACAATGTAGTGTTGGTGACAGTCCAGCCCACAGACTTTTGTCATAGCTCCAGAGATGCCACAAACAGCTGTTGTCTTAACTATGTCTTTCTTTATTCCTCACAAATATCATTAAGTTTCTGTTACCATGAGCAGGATGCATTCATACTGGCTGGCCTTAAAATGCCCACTAAGAAAAGGAAGTGTGATGGGTTTTGTTTTTTTTTTTTAATGAACAGGTCTTCTGGTTGACAAGGCTGTCTCTTTCAAGCATATGGAGAATTTAGGAACAAAGGCTGAAGTTGGCACACCAAATCTGTGGAGAAAAGGAACTGGGGCAGGGAAACCACAGTCTACTGTACCACGTGCCCAACACTGCACAGACTGCATGTCTACAGCTGTGAAACCGAATGGCCCATGGATGGGTACCGACACTCTGAAAACAACCATCCCATGCCCTCACCCACAACCCTCAATGTCCACAACAGCTTTGATTCTAGATTTAAAATACAGTCCGGAAGAACCCACTGGCAACACAAAAACAGGGATATTCTCTTCTGTACAAAGAAGGCTCAAAATGAAGCTAAGTTTTCCTCTCATTTTCTTCAGACTGAAATGTGACTGCTGCTAGAACACCAATATTATAGGGAACAGCGGGGTAAAAAGTAGCAAGATTCTAAAGCAAAATACCCACTAATTCAAGGACCAGAAAACAGTTCTGGCTGAGCACGGTGGGGTAAGTCTACAATCCCACGACTCAGGCAGGAAAAAGGCTTGAGTTTGAAGTTTGAGGTCAGCGTGGACTACACAGTAAGTTAGAGGTCAGCCTAGCACCCAGCAGGATCCGGTCTCTATTATTTCTTTAAAAGCTCTGTGATGACAAGCTTTAGGGAATGATGTAGTCAAAAACCATGAGAGGTGCACTATGAAGGAAATCCAAGTTCAGAGCTCACATGATTTGCTCAGTCGCACAGATATAGCCTGCTTCCCATCATAAATATAACTCAGCAAAAGGTCTGGAAAAGCCTTCTGGATCCAAAGGTTTAATTGTTATAGTAAAAATAAGCGATAACACCTTGGTAATCAGACCAGGTGTGGTGGCACACACCTTTAATCCCAACACTAGGGATGAAGAGGCAGGTCGATCTCTGTGAACTGGAGGCTACCCCGGTCTACATAATGAGTCCCAGGGCAGTCAGATATACACAATGAGACCCTGTCTCAAAAGAACTTACAGATCAGATTTTGTATAATTATGAATAACAGATATAATGTCCTTTGTCAAGCTTAACAACATATAGTAATGTGATAGAAAACTCTGATTTCATCCTTTTAGCTACAACATTGGCTACCACTCTGATTTCAGTTGTGGTCATCTATCTCTAGGGTCTATCTTGTCAGACTAACAGAGACTAGGAGAATGGGCCAGAGACTGGCCCTCTGCTCTGCTGTGGACTCACCTTGATGGGTACTGCAGAGAGTAAGCAGCAGCCAAGAACCCTCCCAGGTTGTGTCCGAGCAAGATCATTTTGTCCAACCCGAGGGCGCATCTCCACTCTTCAATGGATTCCACAAACTGATTCTCCACTTCTTCTGCGTCACTGTCAAACGTAGGCCTGCTACTTCTGCCAAAGCCCAACAGGTCAAAGGCATAGACAGGCCTATCAGTGCTTAGATCTTCAAAATTCAGGGCCCAAAGTCCAAGACCTCCTCCGAAACCATGAAGGAGGACAAGCGGGGTCTTGTCAGAAACGTCGTGAGAGAACATTAGGGTCCAGATCCTGTTCCCGTTGGATATGCGGACGGGCTCCTTCTTGTAAGTGCAGGGGACACCTGGAGAAAGAGTGCTCTGCTCAGTCCACGGCTGCTGCGTGCTCCCAGAGCGAACACGGGGAACAGCAGTCACACCGAGTCAGCTTTCACTGCATCAGCCCTGAAAGAGTGGGCACCTGATTAAAGCAAGCGATCCAATGACCATGTCTGCACCTACGTGGGAAGACTCACCCTAGACAAGCCTCAAGTATCTGTGGCTAAAGTCTCTGGCAAGTCATATGACCTCCTGACCTCTCTGCACTCTGTCATAGGAAGGCATTTATTACATGCCCAGAACTGGAGAAGAACTGAGTGGTCCCTGAACCCATTATGTTAAGGTCTCTAGCTCTGCAGACAGTAACAAAAGAATACCAGCTTGAATTTGCAGAGCATTTGAAAGATTAGCGTTTGAGACTGAAGTCAGGCTGGAAAGGACCAAGGAAAGTCACCAGAAGAAACTTGGGGAAGGACTCACCATTTCTGCACTAAACACACAGCCGGTGAGTTAGGTCACTTAAAGCATAGTAGAAAAGAGGGACCACAGGGCAGGCATGCCAAGAACACCTCAGCATGAGGCAACCTGGGTTCAAGCAACTGCCCAGAAAATAAAAAATAATACAGTTTTATAGATCAAAACCCTTGTGTTTAAGTTATATAAAACTAAGTACTTTAAACCCCTCAAATTGACCAAAGATAAAACTAAAGTTGGCTGATATTATCAACTAAATAGCCACACTCTAAGAATATCATCATCTGTTTATGTACACGGGAGGCAGACATACGGACAACCACTTATTTCCTCCCTTTGTCAAAGAACTAACTTTAGGGTTTGTATTCGTGGAGGCAGGAAAGAGAAAGGCAGCATGCAGTTAGAGATTTAATAGATGCCCTGCCTTAACTGGGGGAAATGCCCTCACTTACAGAATTTACAGCAAGCCAAATCTCTTCAGCTTTTTGAAATGGGCCGGAGAATTCCCATAAAAACTGTTTGTAACATCAAGTAGAGAGCTTGTCCCAGTGTTCAATCACTTACATTCTCAGTCAGACATCCACATGTACGTTAAGAGTCTAGCATTTTCAATAAATCTCCTAGCAAGAGTTTTTTATTTATTGGGTTGTAGTGGTGCACACCTTTAATCCCAGCACTTGGGAGGCAGAGGCAGGTGGATCTCTATGAACTCAAGGTCAGCCTGGTCTACAAAGTAAGTTCCAGGACACACACAAAGTAAGTCAGAACCACACAGAGAAACCCTGTCTTAGAAAACAAACAAATAAAAAAGCAAAAGTTTATTTTGATAAAGCACAATGAAAATTCTGCTAGTCCTGTATAGAGCAACATTATCTAGGTATCTAACACTTTTGTGTTAAACCCCATATAACAGCGCTAACTACCCATTCCTAAGAGCCAGTATGATCACTTGCTCTGCAGTGGCCAGGTGTACAAACAAGAAAACCCACTGATGGTAAAGACGGTGAAAATCAGGTGTAGACAGGCAGCAGCAGAGATGTAACAAATCACATCAGGAAGCCCCAGCTTTACCCACTCCTGTACAAAATTGTACAGTAAAGACCAGAAGTCTGGACCAATTTCAGTGCTCCTAAGAAAAGCAAAGGATCTGTGCCAATACTAACGTGGATGTAAAGAATGATAGGCAAAAGCAAGGCGAAGGAGCACCCCACCTCTCACTGCACAGTTAAGGAATGGGAGGCTGAGCAAGGTGAGCTGCCCGAGAGCTGGCACACATCACGGCAGGCCTGGCTGCAGTCTAGGGTGTTTCACTGATCAGACTCTGGGACGCTAGGACTCTGTTCTCAAGTATATAGTTTGGGCTATCAGGAGGGTTTTCTAGAGGTTCTGAGGATATTAGAACTTTTTAACACTAATATTAAAGTTTTATTTGCCATTCTTTTAAAAACATTTTGTTTTCTAATACTGTGTATGTGTGTGTGTGCACGCACACGCACATGCCTGTGCGCACACTCGCAATCTCACACAAGAGTAGGAGCATGTGAGCGCAGTGCCCGCAGAGGCATCAGATCCCCTGCAGCTGGAGTTACAGGTGGCTCAGCACTGGGCATGAGCGCTGAAACTGAACTCTGGCCCTCTGTAAAAACAGCACATGCTCTCAACCGCTGAGCCAGCTCTCTAGACCCTGTCTGCCCTTCTATACTTGTTCCTTTGTTGTTGTTGTTGTCATGTTGTTGTTGTTGTGTTGTTCCATACTGAGGGGAATCCCACATCAAGACAGGGTTTCTCTGCGTAGCCCTGACTGGCCTCAAACTCAGAGATCCATCTGCCTCTGCCCGCTGTGGGCTGGGATTAAAGATGGCACTGCCACGCCCCACCTACCCTCATTCTTTATTGCAATGTTGTTTTTTCCTCGAGGTCACATGACAAGTGAGTACACAAAAAAACAGATAAGAGAGTCCGGCTCATTGGAGAGACCTGTACTCATGGAAACAATGTTACTCCTCTAACTATAGCTCTTGGCAAGCAGGCAATGTTTTTCAAACATTATTTTTACATGGAATGGCTTATTACTATTATTTTAAAAAAATTAACATATTAAGTATGTCCAATTTAAATTTAATTCTACTAATAAATAACTATAATTCATAAATAATGCTCCTTGGGATTCTTACTACTTTAAGGGTTTAATAGGGACCTAAGACCCAAAATCCTGATAATCACTGCCCCCTAAGGCACTGTGCCACTTGTGGGTACAGAAGAGTAAGGGGCTCTTTCGTCAGCAGTTAACACACGGCAGAATCTTGCCTTCAGTTTCAGGACGACACAATATATCATATCTATTTTAGTAAACAGTTCATGTAACTTACGAGAGGAAAACCTTACATTTTAACATTTTCTCTTCAGCTTCTTTAAGGTGTGATGTGGACGTAGGACACCAGGTCGGAAGCCACCCTGTTAGCCATCCTGACCTAGAACACCAGAAGCAAAATGCAAATAGGTGAGGCCATGCTCTTCTCACCCTCAGTACCCTTAAAAACAGAGTCCCAGAGGAACCCCACCATCCCCCAGCCTCCCCCACCCCCGGGGGAGGGCAAGCTCTAAGTCCCACAAGTCAGTGGGATAGGCGCTGGGCACCTACAGGGCAGTAACCAAGTCTACCTTATCTCTTAGGAGAGTCGAATTCCAATAATTATAAAGGGAGTGAGGGAGGGCAGGAAGAAGAGGGGGACCCCACTCCCGAAGTGAGGCAGTCTCTACAGGACACAGGTGTAGAAGAGCTAAAGACTACACATGAACAGGTTCTTCTACCCCAACAGTAGCTTAAAGTAAGAAGAAACTTACTAAGAATTCTTATTAAACTAAAAATAGGAAAAAGAAAAGCTTCAGACGTCACGAGAAAGTACAAAGGGTGGGTGGCTTGTGCTCAGCCTGCCTGGAGCAGTTGGTTTACCACGATGTCGGAGCAGCTTTGCCACCAATAAGCAGCAGGTAAGAAGCGGGCACCTGACTCAACACGGCACCAGGAGAACAAGGCAGGCAGGGCTGAGGCAACCGCGGAGGGAGGCTGCTACTGACCCTTGCCGGGAGCCAACCACGAGGTGGGAGGACCTCAACCGCAGGGCTGGCAGCACACCAAAACCTTACTGCAGTAATTTGATGCAACACAGAGTTTAGCAACCATCTAAGGCGAGGATTCGGTAGTGAGATATTTCTGATGGGAGAAAGTTAGAGGCCTGAACCAAAGCACTGGCAAGAGGAATACATGAAGATTTAGCCAAAGAATATTTAAAACGGAAACAAGCTGAATCTGATCGGTGGTCAGAAGGTGCAAGGAAGATTCCCGGGGCTTTGTCTCCAGTTACCACTATCACCACCGCCAACACACTGGATACACACAGGGACACAATACACACACACACAGGGACACAATACACACAGGGACACAATACACACACACACAGGGACACAATACACACAGGGACACAATACACACACACACAGGGACACAATACACACAGGGACACAATACACACACACAGGGACACAATACACACAGGGACACAATACACACACACACAGGGACACAATACACACACACACAGGGACACAATACACACACACAGGGACACAATACACACAGGGACACAATACACACACACAGGGACACAATACACACACACACAGGGACACAATACACACACACACAGGGACACAATACACACAGGGACACAATACACACACACAGGGACACAATACACACACACAGGGACACAATACACACAGGGACACAATACACACACACACAGGGACACAATACACACAGGGACACAATACACACACAGGGACACAATACACACACAGGGACACAATACACACAGGGACACAATACACACAGGGACACAATACACACACACAGGGACACAATACACACACACAGGGACACAATACACACACACAGGGACACAATACACACAGGGACACAATACACACACACACAGGGACACAATACACACACACAGGGACACAATACACACACAGGGACACAATACACACACACAGGGACACAATACACACAGGGACACAATACACACAGGGACACAATACACACACAGGGACACAATACACACAGGGACACAATACACACACACAGGGACACAATACACACACACAGGGACACAATACACACAGGGACACAATACACACACACAGGGACACAATACACACACAGGGACACAATACACACAGGGACACAATACACACAGGGACACAATACACACAGGGACACAATACACACACACAGGGACACAATACACACAGGGACACAATACACACACAGGGACACAATACACACACACAGGGACACAATACACACAGGGACACAATACACACACACAGGGACACAATACACACACACAGGGACACAATACACACAGGGACACAATACACACACAGGGACACAATACACACACACAGGGACACAATACACACACACAGGGACACAATACACACAGGGACACAATACACACACACAGGGACACAATACACACAAGGACACAATACACACAGGGACACAATACACACAGGGACACAATACACATAGAGACACAATACACAATACACACAGGGACACAATACACACGGGGACACACACACACACAAGGACACAGTTTGTAATAATCATTAGTCTAGTCATGGAGGAAGGTCATTGGCCAATAAAGAAACTGCTTGGCCCTGTGGGTGGAGTAAACAGAACAAAATGCTGGGAGGAAGAGGAAGTGAGGTCAGAGACTTGACAGCTCTCCTCTAGGGAGCAGACGCCTGAGAGAGATGCCATGCCCCGCTCGGGCATGAAGCTCAGACCCAGGATGGACTAGGCTAGAATCTTCCCGGTAAGACCGGTTCTCACAGATTATTAGAGATGGGTTGATCGGGATGTGAGAATTAGCCTGTAAGTGCTAGAGCTAAAGGGCCAAGCAGTGCTTAAAAGAATACAGTGTCTGTGTAATTATTTTGGGGCATAAGCTAGCCGAGCAGGCAGCCGGGGTGCTGGGAACGCAGCCCCGCCGCCCCCATTACTACAGTCTAGCATTCTGGAGGCCCTGGGTTTGACTCCCTTTACCTTCAACAGAATAAAACAAACATTAAGAGAAACAAGACTGGTGTGAGTAGAAAATTAGGCTAATTCGGGGAGGGAAGATTTGGCCTCTAGCTTCTTCTAAACCTCATACACTCTTCCTACAACATTTGCTTTTCCTATAACATAATTTGTATGTAACAGGCATTCAGGAACTAATGTCTGGCAAATGATTAGGTCTCTCACAATCTAGGGTAATCTGGTCCAAGTTAGGCCCAGTTCACAGGTGTGGAAGCTGACGTTCAGTTAACACCAGCATAGAGGATACACAGCTAGTAACAGAAGTAGATCACTGAGTTCAGTTCTAAAAGGCCCCCCAAATCCCTGTGGTCCACAGGAGGGTACCTCCCTCAAAATGCCTGAGAAATTGGCTACTGTCCACAGGTGGCCCACTCTTCCAGTCCTATCCAGTCTGCTCCTTCAGATTTTCTCCTGCTTTGCCTCATCTACTATTGCATGTCTAAGGTTTACCCAGCTCTTCCCTTGGTCCTGACACCTCACTTTCCCAGAAAACACTGTTCCTGATGCTAGGATGCAAAGGCGTGGTCCCTGCTGCAGATGCTAGGGTGCAAAGGCGTGGTCCCTGCTTCAGATGCTAGGGCGCAAAAGTGTGGTCCCTGCTTCAGATGCTAGGGCACAAAGGCGTGGTCCCTGCTGCAGATGCTGCAGTCACTGGCTGTCCGTTTACACGTTTATCACCTACTGCCTGGCGAACACACCAAAAGTTGAGTCTGTCTCACAGCTGACCTTCATAGCCAAAGCTAAATACACCAGCTGGAGGTCACGTGAGCCCACGAGAACTGTGATGTCAGCAGCCTAACTAGCGTGTGATGAGCAAAGACAGATTGGGTTCTCTCGATCAGCAATGGGCACATAGTGTACCTCAGGTTCTACAGCAACAAGGTACGTGGGCAGGGCAAGGGCCTGAAGCTTCCAAACAAAATATAACAGAAATTGACGCCAAGGAGAAGTCCAAGATAGAGTCGTCAGCATGTACCCAAGCGGAGACTGAAGGAGGACGACGACCTAACACCTACGCTCTCTATCTGTCCCTTTATAGTTTCAGTTAACTTTCTTCTCGTCTCAGTCTTTAGATCAAGTTTCCTAGTAGGTTCAGTAGCTGTGTGAGTGTGTGTGTGTGTACACAAATAGAAAGAATCAATACAAAAATACTAGCAGATCCATCTGGCCAGCTTTTCATAGCCGATAGTTAGACATATAAAGGTCTTCACTAAAACGCCAGTCTCACACTGTGCATTGACAAGACAGGACAGGAAGAGTGCGGGTGCCCTCACACGTGCTGCACCTCACCAACTGCTGAGGTGTGAACCTAAGGTGTTCACACTAGCACCATACCAACTGCCAAAGTGTAAACGTAAGGTGTTCACACTAGCACCTTACCAACTGCTGAGGTGTGAACCTAAGGTGTTCAAACTAGCACCTTACTAACTGCTGAGATGTAAACCTAAGGTGTTCACACTAGTCCACTGCTGAGTGTATCTGCAAACTCACCAGGGAAAGTTACTTCAGCAACTTGTTTTTTAACTTATCAATAATTTTTTAATTTTCAAAAAGAGGGTAATGTGGTTTTGCTTGTTTACTACCATTAAACGGAAACTCTTTCGTGCCTGCTTGTTTCTATTTGATCATAAAATTATAAACAGGAACTTATTATAATTGAATATCAACTCATTACTTAAACAAATATCCTTCAGATCATATAGTACGGTTCTTTGCCAGAGACAATCAAAGATCAATACAAAAAACCCGATGTGATCTATAGTCTACTTGCTTCAAATGACATACACATGTTGGGACAAAAAAATACAAATGCAGTGTTTGCTTCAGTCATTCTTAGTTCAATTTAGTGTTTGTAAGCCTGGTGGGCTATATGAAAAATTAAGGGGCACCAATTCTCATATTTTCATAGCTATTTTTTCATCAATATAAGGCCAGTTTTCACAAATGAGTTTGTTCTATGTAATATTTGAAGTGGGAAAACTCCACCTATTTTTATCCCTAATAGAACTGTGAAGACAGCATTTTCCTGAGCCTAACACGCTTTAATCAGATGACCTGTAAGGATTTGCTGAAGGGGACTGCACCTGTAGATAAAGCACCTCACACACAGCAGCCCCCGAGGACACTTGCAGAGTGAAGGCCGTGGTCTGACTGTCAGCCTCTCCTGCTCAGGACTCCTCGTTCCTTTCTTGCTATCTCTGTTACTCTCTGGCCAAGCTTCTCTTCTGTCTGCAGAGTAACTTAACCACATCTCCAAAGAGGCTGTGCTTTCCCACTGGGTTGTCTGGCACGGCATGTGGACACTGGATCTAA